ATAGGTAGGAAGATAGATCGATCATCTGTTTACCTATATTTCATTTTTCTTGCATGAATAAATCATTTGAACAATAGCTCATTTGACCTGTATGTACATTTGCTCTTTAATGAACACTTGCATTGTTTAGTGGGTGTAGGACTGAATCACAAGCCTCATTGAAGCCTCAACCCTTCCTCTTCCACTGAACTTCACCCATTGCCCCGTGCTTGAATGTCTGTACCATTGTCTTAAGGTCTGTGAATATGGTAATGAAAAGATGATTACTTTTAAAAGTGCCTTAATTCCTAGCAGCAGAAATTTATGAAAAACATATCTCTGCACATACTTAGTTTATTTAATGAAATACAGAAACCCTGTGAAGTAGAATTGTTGGTAAGAATTTTACCTAGAATGTGTGAGGGTACTTTTTGTTTAATTTATGAAATGCTTCTCTGAGGAAAGTTTAATTTGAAATGTCATGGAAAAGAAGAGATTAGAAACAGAGGCAGGGATTCCAGGCAGAGGGAACAGTCAGTAGGAGGGAGGAGCATGAAGCTCAAGGCTAACCGCACCTAGAACACTGCCGCTCAGGTTAGGCGGCTGGAGAGGTGAATTGGGAGTAGAAGAAAGAGATCCTGTTTATAAAAACAGTGAGAGAAATCGGAAGGCTCTGCTATCCAGATTTGCATTTGAATGAGAACTCACGTGATGCATGAATGCATTAGCAGAATCAAAGAGAGAGAAATGCGCCAGGTTTGGGATTGTGGGGAAGGAGGGATTTCCAAGTACACCTTCCAGGCTTCCTACCTACAACCTTCACAATCTGAATGCAGTTTCATGACCGTATTTTCCTGATGACCTTCTCAACTCACAGTCTCTGCACTGGCTTCAGAAAAGCTCTGTGACAACCTTATTTTTCTCACTTTGCTTGTGCATTAATTCTGTATTAAAATGCAAACACATTTTAATCTGCTTTAAGTCTTTTCTGCAGAGGCATGTTTAAAATAAACCTATTCCTAGCTTAAAGGCCTCCTTAAAATGCCTCTAAGGTTTTTTTTTTTCCCCATTAAACATTACTAAAGTTACTTCTTATAAATACATATATAAAGACTGAGAAATTTCATGAGTTTTATAAGGATTAGTAAACTAATGCCTGTATTGATGTGGTAGGATTTTACATAGGACTTATTCAGTAGAGAGGAGCCCGGCTGCTGTCATTTAGCATTGTAGATACCATGCTGATACACTACACCCTTTCAAACTTTGACAAAAGCAAAAAAAAAAAAAAAAAAAAAAAAAAAAAATTGAAAACTTAAATCATCTTTGAGATTTAAAGTAGCTTATGTACAGATAAGAGATGTGAACTTGTTGTGAAGAAAATGAAACCACTATCTTTGCCAATTCAGCCAGATTTTTTCACACTATTGTTGGACCAGGCCAGGGAGTGGGGAGCACACCTCACTCAGTGTGTACATAATGTAAAAGCTGTTCAAAACCGTCATATCACAGACTGAACTGGAAATACACTGGTGAGGTGATACAATGAAGCATACTTGAAAGGCATGCAAAACAGGAAATATAGATTCTGTTTTTGAAATGTTGAGTTCAATACATAGTCCAAGTTGATGCCAGAGATAATCTTATAGACATCATCAAAGTAGGTAAGAGAATATGATGTGCTGTCATATATATTTCAGTAAGCTGAACTCTAATCTAGCATATTTCTTTTCAATAAAGAAAAATACTTTTGAGTCAATTAGATGATATATCTGTCTATAAACATCTAAATGTCTACATACTTGTTTTCCTTTACTTCTTCATCCATCCATTTATCCATATTTCCAAACATCCCTCATGTTCATGAGGTTTTTTTCTTCTCCTACTTTAGATACCTCTCCCTCACTGGAATGATGATTCTCTGGGTATAATTTATTCCCCTTTTCTGTACAAGATGTACTTTTAAAATTAAATATAAGTATTATGAAACCATTCTAGCTAGTTTGTTTACAGCAAATACCTTCATGAGTTTGTAGCACATTCTCTCTAATGAAATACAATCCATTCTCTGTATGCTCTATTTACTCTATAGCTTCATCAGGAGATAAGCAACCCAATTCATTTGCAAGTGCTAACCACCAGTATTCATTGTCTCTTTTCTTTCTTTTAGACTGACTGGTGAGAGATTAGCATAACTCATTTTTAAATAGAAATCACTTTGCTTTTTAGCTCAACTAAAGCTTCCTAGTTTGTTTTTAATTGCACAACTGTCATCTATAATAGTGCTAATAAATATCAAGCAAACATTGTTATTCAAATTAAGGATCTATCCTATTTTTCAGATGAAGAGGTGAAGGAAGAGGTTAATTTCTTTTCCACTAGAGTTCAGCTATAAAATTTTCCTGGACAGGTGGCTGGAGAGGTGGATCAGTGGTTAAGAGCACTGGTTGCTCTTCCAGAGATCCTGTGTTCAATTCCCAGCCACCACATGATGGATCACAACCATCTGTAATGATATCTGGTGTCCTCTTCTGGCCTGCAGGCATACATGGAGACAGACTACTGTATACATAATAAATAAATAAATCTTTTTTTTTTTTTAATCCTTAGGCCAGTGCTCTTTCCATTCAAGTCCCCAGGTGTACCTTAGCAGCGTTTTAAAACCAAGCAGGAAGGGCTATTACTGACCGTATGTAAACATTGAAAATTAAATTGCATTAAATGAAACCAATGTGGCAAGAAGGTGTGACTTTGGTGGGAGGAATTGGGCCTTGAGATCAAAGCCTTCATAGATGGAATGGGAATTCTTATGGAAGCGGTATTAAACACCTGCTTAAGCTAAAAAATGGACCTTACCAGAGCCTGAATCCACAGTCAACCTATGTTAGACTTCCCAGCCTCTAAGACAATAGGAAATAACATCGGTTACTCATACACCATCTAGTCTATGAATTTTATTATGATAGCCAAACAAGGTAAGACCGAGGGGCATCGTGCTTCAAGGAACCTTTCCCTCAAAACTTTCTGAACACATGGACAACTACTCTGTTTCAGGGAGATGGGGGCGGACAATAGAATATCTTTAAAAAAAATTATTCTTTCTTCTAATCCAGCAGGAAAACAAAAGCAAAGGGCAGAAGAATGTAGGGCCCATGCAGTCAGCACAAAGGAGATGCTATGTATGGGTAAGGTCAAAAGAAGGCATAAGGAGGAATGGGGAAGGCACATGTAAGGGGAGTCAGCAAGTGGGAAAAGAATTCAATCCTGGCAATAGTCATATTCTGAGCATGAGATCTAACAGATACAACCAGAACGAAGGGGTGGACACACTGAAGAGCACCTGCTAGTGAGTGCAAGTGGCTGGGAAACTGAGAACGGTGAGTCACAGGCTAGCCAGCGCATGTACAAGCAAAGAAAGAAAGAGTGTGCACTCTGAAGCAGTCCCCCTGAGCCTCCACTGTGGACGGCTAATGGAGAGAATGCAAAGATTCTTCTGAGGACTTTATAAATTTAAATCATTGTTATAAATTCCAGTTGACTAAATTCTTTAATTTGAATGAAATTATAATCTATCCCAACTCCACAGACCCATCAGGATTAAACAGAAACGCTCTGGATGAACAAGACCTATTTATTATAAAACAAAACATCTCCTCCATGAATCAAATGGGCAACAGCTGTCTGGTCTTTAAAAGGAATTATCTCTTTTGTCCTAAGATTAGCCGGGCTGCAGAGGAAAGAAGGGAATTAACTATCATTATCAGTTCAAGTCACCCGGTAATTTCTGCAATGAAATAGCCCAACCATATTCAGAAATTATCATGAAAACACTCAGCTTTCCAGGTGAATTATTATTGAATTTATATTAACCCCTGGGCTAAGTATCTAGGGAACTTTTTTTTTTTTTAAGTTGCTAATGTAAAAAGATATGCTGCTGATCGCTTAGTCTGGTCACATCCAGGGAGAGTTATTTGCCCTGGGGTCTGAGCTACATTGTAGTAAAATCAAAGGACATAAAAGCTGTGGCAGGAACAGTGCTGAAATTGGAGAAGCGCCATTATGAATAGCAACAAGCATGGAGATGCATATGGAAGAGCGTCACGGAGTCAGTAAAACCACAGTTCTTCCTTGATCGATGGTGCCCAGATAGTTACAGCTCATTTGCGAAATCATCTACTGGGTAGGTATTTATGGATTATTATGCAGAATATTATTGAGGATAAGCCTGGTTAAAAACAAATACAGAAAAGAGTAAATGGCACAGGCTTTTAGGAAGGCCAGCATTTGGAATATTTTCAGGGGGAAAAAAAAAAACGTCAGAAATTCCACAACATAGCTAATGTGCCTTAGGAAGGACTCTCCATTTTAGGAGTGCATAAATCCACATAAATTGCTGTAATAAGGATCCATTCCATAGCCCTTTTGGCGTAAACACACATCTGGTCTCTGTTTGTAATAAAATCAATTCGAAGCCCCAGAGCGCATTAATAATAAAAATGTTCAACATATTGCACCCGAACAGGCCCAAATTTGAGTCTGAAGATCCCGTCACACATGTGTGTACTTTTAGCACTGATGACTAGGTTACACAACATTCAACAAGTGGCTGAGGATTCCAGAGGTCCAATTTTCTATATTATTTTATTATTTCCAGAGGGAAAAAAATCCATATGCATGTATGCTTAAAACTTTTTGCTTGAAACAAAAAATTGCTTGCTCGATGGGCAGTGCCTCTTCAATGTTTGTATCTGTATGGTGTGATAGAAATGTGGTTAATAATAAACTTAATATAAAGATAAATGCCTGGCTTAGAGGAAGTACATGGATTTGCAATTTAGAACAAAAGAATCCTGGAATTAGCACATCATGTGTCAGAGGTGGTCTTTTAACTTGAAAGTCTAATAAAACAAAGAAACTGTTGTAGGTTAATTTTAAAAAGTATCTTATTTGGTTTTCAGCAATAGTCATCAACAATCTAGAGACAGAGCCTGCTAAGCCTTCCTCTTGGGTTTTGTATTTACCTTCTGTGTTATATGATTGACCCAAGGAGAAGAGCAGTTGCTTAGATCTGGTCCTTGGGGATCCCATATTCCATCAGGAGCAAGGCATAGGTAAGTTGATACACCTACAGAAAGAAAGAAACATTCAAACATTCAAATCACATTTCTTAGAATAACTTCATGTCTTCACCATACATATTTAGTATAAGCAAGGGTAAAAATTAGATAACTGTATTGAGATAGTAGTATCTATTAAACTTAGACACAAAGATTTGAAAGTAAATGGCATTGGGCAAGCATTAAGAACAAATGAAAAAGGATTCAATGGTTTTAGGGGAGGGTGTGGGGAAGAATTTCATGAATTAATACCATGGATAGCTTGTCATTGTGGATCTTTTGTTTGGATTTGCAGGAGGAAAACAATGTTAGCATGCACGTTGTCAGAAAAACAAGAAAGCCTGTCATGGGTAGAGGAACTATGTTGCCTTTGGGAGACATCAAGATTTTTGAGTGGTGTTTTTCCGAGATGAAGGAGTTGTATTTAATGAAATGGAAATGCAAGGAAGCTGGACTATAAAGCCTTGTGTCCACTATGCTAGAAATTAGTGAAGATTTTTAAGAAGAAAAGAATGGTTAGATTCAGGTTTCAGAAGGGTATCACTTGCAGCAGAATAGAGGATGGATCTGAATGGGACTGTGTTTAAAGAGAGGCAGCTATGACTAGAATTCAGTGAGAACCTGTGTAGGCCTGGTCTTAGGGGTTTAACAAGAATTCAGAGAGCTATGAAATTGGGGCTCATGCATACTGGCAGTACCATTTAAGTCCTGGGAGAGCTTCAGAAATAGTTCAGCTTCCACTAAAACTCTTCCCCAATTTCCACAGAACAACACTGATCTAGTTCAGTAGTATGAAGTGCCTGCAAACAAAGGTTTCCACTACTGCTCACAGGACATGTCTAGAGCAGCAGGGCTGCTGTCACCTCTCTTTCAGAGAGGAAGGAGTGACTTTTTAAGTAAGAAAGAAGGACATTTTAAGTGGCTTGCAAAGGCCAATCCAATAGAAAACTTTAGAAACAAATATTCCCATTCCTTTTCAGAAAAAGAAAGAATGGCACTGAGATTTTGAACACTTTGTTAAAAGGAAAATATGGGCCCTTATACAAAACAAGACTTTCTGGTGTATCCACACTCCGTGTGTTATGGAATCTGGAATGACATATCCATATGGTTAATGGAGTCAAGTGAATAATGTCTAAAGACAATCCATAAGAATATATGCATATACAGCAATTACATATTTATTTTATTTATATGTTTTGAGGAAGGATACAAATATTTTTTGGTGTGTCAAGTATTATGAAGGTGAAAGCAAAGATCAAGTCAAGCAGTGTATTTGTCTTAAAAATGATAAATATGACTGCATTTTGAGATTATTATAAATTATGGAAGAAATAGAAAAGATTCAGGGAGATTTGGTTTTAAGTTATCTCCTGGAAGAAGCAGAGGGGATTGTTCTTTAATGGATGTTTGTGAGTGGGAGATAGATCGGATAGCAGGCTCATGACCACATCACATGCCTTTAGCCACTAGGGAACAACAACATCATTGGTAGAAAAGATATTCATGCTTTCTCCTCTTATAAATGCAAGATGTGATCAATGGTCACCAGGAGTCCGCACAGCTCAGCTTCCGTCACCAATATTTATCCATCATTGAGAAACACAAAACAACCTGGATGTAATCCAAGGACAGTGCAGGGACTTTGCAAGGAGGACCTGGCTCTGTGGAACACCATTGACCCCCAGAACTAACACTAAAAGAACACTCTTACTCAAGGCATTTCAACCAAATTCTCACCTGTGACTTTTCAGGTTCTACTATCAAATGCTAATCACACAGCACTCATTTGTTTGAGCTCATAACCTAATCAAATCTTAATAAGGAAAATAGATGGAAATAACAAAATACATAGAACTAAGAGGAAAGAAGAAAAGAGAAGAGAATGAAAAAACTGAAGGAAAAAAAATCAACACAAAATCAAGGCAGGCCTGGGCTAGGCTGGCTGGGGCTGGCTCACCTATCGTTCCTGCTGGGCAGGGCTGTTTTGCTACTTGCCCCTGACGGGTTTTAAACCACATTATTTCCCGGGCTTCCACAGCATCACAGCTCTCTTCCATAGCAGGAATCTGGGAAGCTGCCGATGGCAGGTGTGTGGTGATGTCATCCAGCACCTCCACAGCTGGGGACGGTGTGCTGGTACTCCGGTTTCTTCTGCCCTGCAATGATGGGGTGGTACTCCTCCCTATGTTCCAGGTCGTGGTCCGAAGAGTGGTGCTGGTGGTTGTGCTTCCCATGCCCAGGGATCCTGTGGTAGAAACGCCTGAAACACAGTGGGAAAACAAGACAGAACAAAACACCTACATTGCTTGCTCATAGTAGGACCTCAGGAAGTCCCAAAATTAGAAATCACTTTTATTTGACAGTTGAGGGAATGTCAAAGCCCTAGAACTCCATGACCTCATTTGCCATTTAAACATGGCAAAACCATGCCAGTACCGAGATGTCAGAATGCCAATTGATTACCAAAACAGCCATTTGACTACTGCCAAACACAGGCTTTTGAGGTTGTTTTCTTTTTCAACTCTAATCACAGAAAGCAAAATTACAATTAGGTGAGACTCTCTGTAAACTTCTAAATGCTTTTTGACAATAGCAAATTAAAACCTTAAACTTTCTGCTTAAACTTTCAAACTTGTTATAGAAAGAAGTTAGAGAAGATATTATAGTCATATTAGATGTTATGGTTTGAAATAAAAGAGTCTGCCATAAGTTTATTTGTTAAAAAGTTGGTCCACAGATGGTGATCTGGATTTGAGAAATTGTAGAAAGTGTAGGAAGCATTGCCTAGCTAGGAGTACAGTCAGTGCAGGGGGAGAGGCTATATGGGTTATATCTCTGCCAGGTGCAGGAGGAGCTCTCTACTCTCTGATTCAAGGCTAGAGATGTGAGCAAGCTGACGCAGACTCCTACTGCCTTGGACAGAGACAGCCATTGTCATGTCTTGTTGGCCATGCAGGACTACAACATTCAAACTATAATCCAAAATAAACCCCCTTACAATAACTAATATATTAGAGAATGCAAACTTCTAAATATGACAAAGGCAAAATAATAAAATGACAAAGAGGACAAAATAACATTACACACTCAAACAATTAATGAAAAAAGAGGCCATAGATTTGAAGGGGAGCATGGAACAGTATATTGCTGGACTAGGAGGGAGGAAAGGGAAGGGAAAATATTGTAATTACATTATGATCTCAAAGAGAGTAATTCTGAGTATGATCTTTTACTACACATCATTTGAGTACCTTTATGGTCTACCTGCATACTTTGAGAACTGACCCAACTTAAAAAAAAAAAAAATACAATCAAATTTGACTTACTATGTAAGTAGCAAGTACATCCTAAGAAACTACATTGCTCAATTAGTTTAAAGAATATTTTTCATAGGAGCAAATGAAGATGCTTAGTGTTGAATGAACATGAGACACTACATAGTCATCTACTATCAGTAACGGAGCACTCATTAACAGAATTTTATTTCTGGAAAAATATATTTATATTCTTATGGTGGGGTTGTCAAAATGCACTACATAAACACACTGCAGTTGGAGCACTTGAAGTCAAAACTACTGACCTCACTTACTGACAGGAGACTCCAGGGACACTGGCTCTAGCCTAGTGTTAGCTACCTCATATTTAAAAGTTTGGGGGAGTCCTGTGGCAATTTTGTAATCCTTCATAGTCTACCTGATGTAAATTAACTTCCTAGTGATAAAAGTATAATTGCAAACCCTCAGTTGCCCCAGGAGACATCCCATATTCATCAGAGAGACTTCGCTGGCCATAAAACTTTCCAATCCAGTACTGATATGCCGGAGGCAAGGCATATTGATTGCCAAACATCAAATGACTGTAATGGTATCATTCCTATCATTATGTTCTCTGAATGTTAGGTTTTTTTTTTTTTCTTTTTGTTTGCCTTACCTTCTCAGTTTTCTGCTTTCTCTTTGTTTTCTTTGTATATGAAAGAAAAATAGGCAGGGAGAACGGCAAGGTAGGCTATTAAAAGTACAACCACTTCAAGTTGAGACAAGAAGGCAGAGTGTCTCTTTTTTGTTCCTCTCCCAAGTAAATAATGTACTCCAAATTGCAAGGTTCAGCTGATTCTGTCTTTTTTTTTCTACCTGAAATCTGTGCAGTTTTTCCTTTCTTTCCCCAGTCACTGCTGTACCGGGAGCCCGTCACCATTGGGGAATGAGTACAGTAGAATTGTGAGTGTTTCCCTGACAGCTAAGCAGAGCAGAATGGCCATACTGTTCAGAATTTTATTGTTCCGAAATAAAAGCTCAGGGTTCATAAAATAGAATGACTAATTCTTATGCCTGTTATGGATTAAATAACTTTTAACAAAATGTTTCAAAATGTTAAAGGAAATTAATGCTTTAAATTAGAAACAACAAAATAAGACTAAAACATATTTCAATGTCAGCAAAAATATATAAAAAACATCATTGGAAGGTAAAAACAAATTGAAAATTAAATACTTAGCATTGTTAAGCATTTATTCATAAAAATTCATGTGAATATGTCATCACTAAAATACAAGAATATTTTAAATTTTTTCAGATGACAATTTTTTTTCAATTGAGAGAAGATGCTTACTACTTGGGGAGTGTTAAGGCAAGAGTTAAAAGAGAATCTCATGTGTTTTCTCTTTAATTTAGACAAAGCTAGCTTTCATTTGTGTGTGTGAAAGGACCACTTAGAGGAACTCTGTTGCTTTTGACAGGAACTATAATCTTTTCATTGATAATAAGCTGCAGTTTTTATTTCACACAAAGACTTGCTCGTTCTTTGTCTTTTAAGTTTGATCATGTAAAAATGGAGATGTGTAGAGTTACCTGCTATTAGCTAAATAATCTTATGCTCAAATTAACTTGTTTTGTGAACCTCTTTGAGCTGAAAGGGAAAAAATACTTTTAAAATAAAAACTGTTTTTCAATTGTCTTCTTTCTCAAGAATTATACAGGCACTAAAGAATGCTTTCAAGATGAATGCCTTTCTAACGCTGGATATTTTGATTAGAACGTAACTAGGAGGGAGATTAGTTCAGCAATAATTTTATGTATAAAGGTACGCAGTTGTGCATATGTACAAGAGGAGCCTTGAACCTGCCATCTCAACTGTACATTTCACACAGAACAATGGCAAACTTCCACAAAATTTTTGCTTGTAGTGACTTCAGCCTTAAAACTTTCAAATAGATCCTTTAGTATATGTTCAGTGTGTGTCACTGTAGTGCTAGCAAGCAAAACAGCATTTTTAAGACAACATCATCACAGGAAACCATTTTATAAATAATAGTCCCATGTGATAAAATAAAAATTATGATTTTTCTTCTCTTTTTCAAGAATTAACTCACTCAAAGCATTTTCTAACTTTCTCAGAAATATTTCTTAGAGTAAAAAAAAAAAACCTAGACAATGTTACTCTCCTTTCCAAACTCTTAAATGGTGTCTGCATACTCACCAAATAAAATGCGAACATTTTTACTTTATGCTCAAAGACCTTCATGAACTTCTCCAGGTCATTATAAACACTCTGATCTTTTTAACTCATTGTTTAAACCACACAAGATCCACAGTCTGGCACCTGCACCCTCTTCTTCTGTCACAGGGATTTTTGTCCATGCTACAGAGCATCATTGCCCCATTGACATCTCACTACGACCCCATCTCTCCTTTGAGTCACAAACATCTCCATCAAAGAGCCTTTCCAAATTCCCTAAGCCTGGCTTATATGCTAGCACATGTTTTGTTAAAATTATTTCTTCTGAAGTTGGCCTTACCAAGGGCAACTAACGCTCTACGTTAGGACAGTTGAATGTCAGAGATAGGGCAAGTAAGGAAGCAGTAGAAGACAGGGGATCAGCAAAAATCAGCAAGACTATGCAAACGAAATAACACATGGCAGCTAGATGTGTCGTAATAACAAGTCCAGAAAATTTATCTTATACATGAATCTATGCTTACCACTAAGGAAAACCAAGAGACGACACAAAGAGAACAAAACCCGAGAAATGAATGTCTTTCCTTGAAAATGGCTGTAAATCAATACAGTTATAGTAAAGTATATACGTTCTAAAAAACAAATCTTAGCTCACTACAGACAACCTAATTCTAAGAGCCAAAGATGATTTCTTTCATTAGAACTGAGCCACTGAGAATTGTCTAAAAGTGGGGACTGCCCAATTTGGTTGAAATTTAATCAAAGTAAGAGTCACTTATAAACAGCTACCTTTGCTCTCTCCTCCTGGCCCTTTTCACTTACTGCCATACTAGGATCCCATGGGCTCTGTTTGATGCCAGTTTTGGCGGAGTAACTACTAGTGAGATACACGATGTCCCCTGGGGTTGGGAATGAACTTGCCTTATTGATAGATATCGACAAAAGAAAACTCCAAACCCTCAGAACTGCCATTGCCCATTGGGTTCCTGCCCAAATCACATGCTATGAGAGTGTCTTGGTCTTCCATAAGGAAAAAGTATTGTGGATGCAGCTGTAGAATCTTACCTGAAGACAGAGAAAGCTTAATCAAACTGTGTGCTAAATGTCCTGTGTGCTGTGCATCTTGGAAAGTTTACTGTGCGAAAAAAGTAAGTTTGAGTGACTACTTACATTTAGCATTTTATCCTAGTTGAGAATTTTGCTACTTACCAGCATTACATTTCCTAGTGTGTTTCATAATAATAGCTAAACAAAATGACATATTGAGTTTCCCTTCATAGCCTTATCCCACACACCCACATTATTTGACTTATTTTCTTTAATTTTTTTCCTCCAGCCTGTCTTGAACTGTTAGTACTTAGAATATTAATGCATGTTTTGTAGACTATACAAACATAAAAATGTGAAAACAATGATGATTTTTTACAGTAATTGATGTTTTCTAAATGACCAAAAATATAGTGATTGATATTACGAGTTATTCATTTCAAAATGGAAAAACATGAATAATCATCATATAAACAGGAAGTGATTTGTTCGCCTCTTGATGCATATCTTATGTTTACAATACTTTGCTATGAAAACTAACCTCTGACTCTGCTCATATCTGAGAATCTAGTACTTGGAGGTAGTGACTGGATGACCACAAATCATAGTCCGGCATGGACTGCACAGTGAGAGCCGGTGTGAAGCACACAAGTTGGTTTAGCTCAGCAGCTGGATGCTTCTCTGGCATATACCAAGTCCTGAGTTTGATCTCTACCATCAGATATAATAACACAAACAGAAAAAAAAAAATGTCTGCCA